CCCCGTGTCCTGTCTTCTTCCCCCCCAGTTTGTCCTTTCCTCCCCCCCCCCCCCCCCCGTGTCCGGTCTTCTTTCCCCCTAGTGTCCTTCCTCCCCTCCCCCCGTGTCGTGTCTTGTCTTCTTTCCCCCCAGTGTCCTTCCTCCCCTCCCCCCAGTGTCCTTCCTCCCTCCCCTCCCCCCCGTCCTGTCTTCTTCCCCCCTAGTGTCCTTCCTCCCTCCCCTCCCCCCCCATCCTGTCCTTCTTCCCCCTAGTGTCCTTCCTTCCCCTCCCCTCCCCCCCGTCCTGTCTTCTTCCCCCCTAGTGTCCTTCCTTCCCTCCCCCCAGTGTCCTTCCTCCCCTCCCCCCGTGTCCTGTCCTCTTCCCTCCTATGTCCCCCCCCCCCCCTAGTGTCCTTCCTCCCTCCCCTCCCCCCCTCCTGTCTTCTTCCCCCCTAGTGTCCTTCCTCCCTCCGAGTGTCCTGTCCCTGTGTGTCCCCCATAATGTCCCTACCCTCCTCCCGAGTTTCCTCTCCCACCCGACAGAAAGCAGTGGGTGAGCTGCATGGAGGGTGTTCTGTGTGATCATAGATACAGACAGAAGGGGGAGGGGCATAATAGCCAACCATCCTATCACGTGTGTCAGGCCGCTGAGCCTAACTAGACCACTTTCAGCAGGATGACACCCACCCAAACCACCCACCACCTCCCACTTCAGCCACCACCCACCAAAACCCACACCTCCCACTTCCCCCCCCTCAGCCCCCCTGCTGAGTGACAGCTAGAGCGCAGTGTCAGGACTTGCCGCCCCCATCTTCCCAATCGTGTGAAATACTCCCAAAATCTTCCAATGAATCCGCCAATCACATCCAACGATGGTGTCCGAAGAAGAGAGACCTGGGAAAAGAGGCGGTAGTTCAGACCACAGTCATACCATCTTGACCCATTAAATTGTACAGACAATCCCTCCAATTCCCCCCTCCATATAAATCTCCCTCCATTTGTAAATCTCCCTCCAATCCCCCCTCCATATAAATCTCCCTCCAGTCCTCCCTCCATGTAAATATCTCCTCAGTCCTCCCTCATGTAAATCTCACCTCCGGCTCACCTCAGTCCTCCCTCCATCCTAAATCTCCCTCCATCCTCACCTCCATGTAAAATCTCCCTCCAATCATCCCCCCTCCATATAAATCTCCCTCCATGTAAATCTCCTCCAATCCCCCCTCCATATATAATCTCCCTCCAGTCCTCCCATCCATGTAAATTCTCCCTCCATGTCCTCCCTCCCATGTAAATCTCCCTCCAATTCCCCCTCCATATAAATCTCCCTCCATGTAAATCTCCCCTCCAATCCACGACTCTTCCATATAAATCTCCCTCCATGTAAATCTCCCTCCATGTAAATCTCCCTCCAAATCCCCCACTCCCTCCATATAAATCTCCCTCCAGTCCTCCCTCCATGTAAATCTCCCTCCATGTAAAATCTCCCTCCATGTAAATCTCCCTCCATATAAATCTCCCTCCATATACCTATATTTTCGCTCCATAAGACGCACTTTTTTCCCGGTCTTGGTAATTTCCACAGCCGCCGTGTCAGAATGCCGGGCCGGCCGCTCAGCTCTGCAGTGGGACCTCACCTGATCCTCGCTCCATCGCTGCGCAGTCTTCCCACCACGCCGGCTTCTTTAGTGTGGGCTGACAGCCGGTGTGCCAGTGCGCATGCGCGAGTAGCGCCGCACTTCTGTGACTGGTACGGCATCTTCTCTGGGAACATGACAGGTCACACAGAAAACAGCGGACCAATCACACAAAGCGCAGCGCTTTCGTGCATGCGCACTGGGCACCACGGCTGTCAGCCCACACTAAAGGGAGGACAAACTCTGCGAAGTGGGAGCGGGTAGCTTCAAATTCAGGTACCCCCCCCTCGTCAGCAGTCATCCCCCTGTACTGTGTCCGCAGTCTCCCCAGGTCATACCCCTTACTGTGTCCCCGCAGTCTCTGGTCATCCCCTGTACTGTGTCCGCAGTCTCTAGTCATCTCCTGTACTGTGTCCGCAGTCTCTGGTCGTCTCCTGTACTGTGTCCGCAGTCCCTGGTCATCCCCTGTACTATGTCCGCAGTCCTCTAGTCATCTCCTGTACTGTGGTCTGCAGTCTCTGGTCGTCTCCTGTACTGTGTCCCGCAGTCTCCGGTCGTCTCTTGTAATCTGTGTCAGCAGTCTCTGGTCATCTCCTGTACTGTGTCCGCAGTCTCTGGTCATCTCCTGTACTGTGTCCGCAGTCTCTGGTCGTCTCCTGTACTGTGACCGCAGTCTCCGGTCGTCTCTTGTACTGTGTCTAAGCAGTCTCTGGTCAATCTCCTGTACTGTGTCCGCAGTCTCTGGTCATCTCCCGTACTGTGTCCGCAGTCTCTGGTCATGACTACTGTCCGCAGTCCATTAGGTCATCTCCTACCGTGTCCGCAGTCTCTGGTCATCCCTGTACATGTCCCAATCATCTGGTCATCTCTTGTACCGTGTCCGCATCAGCTCTGGTCATCTCTTGTACCGTGTCAGTCTCTGGTCATCCCCTGTACTGTGTCCGCAGTCTCTGGTCATCTCCTGTACTGTGTCATAAACAGTCTCCGAGTCATGTACTCTGGTCCCTGTCCATACTGTGTCCGCAGTCTCTGGTCATGTACTGTGTCCTTGCAGTCTCTGTCATGTACCCGCAGTCTCCTGGTCATGTACTGTGTCCGCAGTCTCTGGTCATCCCTGTACTGTGTCCGCAGTCTCTGGTCATCTCCTGTACTGTGTCCGCAGTCTCTGGTCATCCATCCCCTGTACTGTGTCCGCATCCTACTCTGGTCATCTCCTGTACTGTGTCTACCTGCAGTCTCCGGTCATGTACTGTGTACCGCAGTCTCTGGTCATGTACTGTGTCCGCAGTCTTCTGGTCTTACTGTGTCCGCAGTCTCTGGTCAACATGTCTACTGTGCCAGCAGTCTCTGTAGTTCATGTACTGTGTCTCGCAGTCTCTGGTCATCCCCTGTACTTATGTCCGCAGTCTCTGGTCATCCCCTGTACTGTGTCCGCAGTCTCTGGTCATCCCCTGTACTGTGTCCGCAGTCTCCATGGTCATCTCCTGTACTGTGTCTGCAGTCTCTGGTCATCCCCTGTAACTGTGTCCGCAGTCTCCGGTCATCTCCTGTACTGTGTCCGCAGTCTCTGGTCATCTCCTGTATCTAATGTGTCCGCAGATCTCCGGTCCATCTCCTGTACTCTGTCCAGCAGTCTCTGGTCATCTCAGGGTATGTACCGTGTCCGCAGTCTCTGGTCATGTACTTTTACTTTTTCCCATGTCCGCAGTCTCTGGTCTCTCTTGTACCTGTCCGCAGTCTCTGGTTCATCTGTTATTGTACCGTGGTTTTTTTTCCCCATCTCTGGTCATCCCCTTTACTGTGTCCGCAGTCTCTGGTCATGTACTGTGTCCGCAGTCTCTGGTCTTTTACTGTGTAGTCTTTGAAGGCATTACTGTGTCATTCCTCTGGTCATGTACTGTGTCCGCATCTCTGGTCATATACTGTGTCCGCAGTCTCTTTTATTGTTGTTCTTGTGTCCGCAGTCCTGGTCATGTACTGTGTCCGCAGTCTCTGCCACCCCTGTACTATGTCCCGCATCTGCTGTCATTTCCCCTGTACTGTTCCGCAGTCTCTGGTCATCTCCTGTACTTTGTCTGCAGTCTCTGGTCATTCCCTGTACTGTGTCGCAGTTTGCTCTGGTCATTCTCCTGTACTATGTCCGCAGTCTCTGATCATCTCCTGTACTGTCCTGCAGTCTCCGGTCATCTCCTGTACCGTGTCCGCAGTCTCTGGTCATCTCCTGTACTGTGTCCGCAGTCTCCTGTCATCTCCTGGTACTCTGTCCGCAGTCTCATCGGTCATCTCCTGTACAGTGTCCTGCAGTCTCTGGTCATCTCCTGTACTGTGTCCGCATCCTCTGTTTTTGTCATCTCCTTACTCGCTGTCCTGCAGTCTCTGGTCATCTCCTGTACTGTGTCCGCAGTCTCTGGTCATGTACCGTGTCCGCAGTCTCTGGTCATCCCCTGTACTGTGTCTGCAGTCTCTGGTCGTCTCCTGTACTGTGTCCGCAGTCTTTATGGTCATCCCCTGTTACTATGTCCGCAGTCTTGGTCATGTACTGTGTCCGCAGTCTCTGGTCATCTCTGTACTGTTCCACAGTCTCTGGTCATCTCCTGTACTGTGTCCGACAGTCTCTGGTCCATCTCCTGTACTGTGTCCGCAGTCTCTGGTCATGTACTGTGTTGCAGTCTCCGGTCATCTCCCGTACTGTGTCCGCAGTCTCCGTCATCTCCCGTACTATGTCCGCAGTCTCTGGTCATCTCAGCTGTACTGTGTCCGCAAAGTCTCTGGTCATCTCCTGTACTGTGATCCGCAGTCTCTGGTCATCCCCTGTACTATGTCTTCAGTCTCTGGTCATCTCCTGTACTTTTGTCCGCAGTCTCTGGTCATCCCCTGTACTGTGTCCGCAGTCTCTGGTTTTCTCCTGTACTGTGTCCGCAGTCTCTGGTCATTCCTGTACTGTGTCCGCAGTCTTGGTCATCCCCCTGTACTTGTCCGCAGTCTTGGTCATCCCCTTGTACTGTGTCCGCAGTCTCTGGTCGTCTCCTTTACTATGTGTCTGCAGTCCATTGGTTCAGAATATTTTTATCTTGTTTTCTGCCTCTAAATCCTAGGTGCGTCTTATGGGGCGAAACATACAGTAAATCTCCCTCCAATCCTCTGTCAGAGTTATGGGGATAATATATATTTTATCATTTTTTTTTATTTTGGAGAACGAGACGGATTTCCAGGGAAAACTCCAAATGTCTTCAGTTCCACTGAAGTTTCCTAAGAGACTCTGATCTACAAACACGTTGTGGACGACCCCGGGACCCTCTGCTCTGCGCCTGCCCACGACCCCGGGACCCTCTGCTCTGCGCCCCCCACGACCCCGGGACCCTCTGCTCTGCTCCTGCCGACGAGCCCGGGACCCTCTGCTCTGCGCCTGCCCACGACCCCGGGACCCTCTGCTCTGCGCCTGCCCACGACCCCGGGACCCTCTGCTCTGCGCCTGCCCACGACCCCGGGACCCTCTGCTCTGCGCCTGCCCACGACCCCGGGACCCTCTGCTCTGCGCCTGCCCACGACCCCGGGACCCTCTGCTCTGCGCCTGCCCACGACCCCGGGACCCTCTGCTCTGCGCCTGCCCACGACCCCGGGACCCTCTGCTCTGCGCGCTGCCGACGGACCCCGGGACCCTCTGCTCTGCGCCTGCCGACGACCCCGGGACCCTCTGCTCTGCGCCTGCCGACGAGCCCGGGACCCTCTGCTCTGCGCCTGCCGACGACCCGGGACCCTCTGCTCTGCGCCTGCCGACGAGCCCGGGACCCTCTGCTCTGCGCCTGCCCACGACCCCGGGACCCTCTGCTCTGCGCCTGCCCACGACCCCGGGACCCTCTGCTCTGCGCCTGCCGACGACCCCGGGACCCTCTGCTCTGCGCCTGCCGACGACCCCGGGACCCTCTGCTCTGCGCCTGCCGACGAGCCCGGGACCCTCTGCTCTGCGCCTGCCGACGAGCCCGGGACCCTCTGCTCTGCGCCTGCCGACGAGCCCGGGACCCTCTGCTCTGCGCCTGCCCACGACCCGGACCCTCTGCTCTGCGCCTGCCGACAACCCCGGGACCCTCTGCTCTGCGCCTGCCCACGAGCCCGGGACCCTCTGCTCTGCGCCTGCCCACGACCCCGGGACCCTCTGCTCTGCGCCTGCCGACGAGCCGGGACCCTCTGCTCTGCGCCTGCCAACGAGCCCGGGACCCTCTGCTCTGCGCCTGCCCACGACCCCGGGACCCTCTGCTCTGCGCCTGCCGACGAGCCCGGGACCCTCTGCTCTGCGCCTGCCCCCCCGGGACCCTCTGCTCTGAACGCCTGCCAACGACCCCGGGACCCTCTGCTCTGCGCCTGCCCACGACCCCGGGACCCTCTGCTCTGCGCCTGCCGACGACCCCGGGACCCTCTGCTCTGCGCCTGCCGGACGACCCCGGGACCCTCTGCTCTGCGCCTGCCGACGACCCCGGGACCCTCTGCTCTGCGCCTGCCGACGACCCCGGGGGACCCTCTGCTCTGCGCCTGCCGACGAGCCCGGGACCCTCTGCTCTGCGCCTGACGAGCCCGGGACCCTCTGCTCTGCGCCTGATGACCCCGGGACCCTCTGCTCTGCGCCTGCCCACGACCCCGGGACCCTCTGCTCTGCGCCTGCCCACGACCCCGGGACCCTCTGCTCTGCCCTGCTGCCCACGACCCCGGGACCCTCTCCATCTGAACAATGGGTCAGGATGATGAGTAGATATGGGCCAACATGGTCTCCTGGGTGCCGGGCCTCAACAAATCAACTGGTTTTCTGGTCACGGAATCTGCAGGACGTGTTCCCCACGACTCCTCCACGGACCCTCAGATCTGACATTGTGGGCGGGGCCAGCGTTCTAATACACAGACTGTCCTCTCTATAGTACAGATTAGCAGGACAAAGAAACCTTCTTACAGAACTGGCTCCAAAGACTGGAGAACGTCCTATGAGAACTTCCTAACAAAGAGTCAACCTGACAGAAATGTCTGCAAATAAAACGGCCGATTTCCAGCGTTCTCATATAAAATGTCATGTAGCTGGGATAGAAAAAGAGGAAA